AATGCAAGAGAACAATTCCAAAAGTCCATTCAGAGGATGATGGCTGGATAATCACACAATGACAGATATTATCTTCACTTTAGTGAGTGAAATGTTAAACCTTTTCATGGCAGCCCTGCAAAACTGCTAATTGAATAAAGTGACACAGCTGGGTTGAGGGACGTGATATCCGTGAAGTCGCATCATCAGCGCCTTCTTAACTTATTTTATCACATCTCCTGAGGAGCCTGATCCTCCTCATTTTTCCAAAGTAATCACAATCATCAGGACCTGTTTAGTTTTTTTTTACTCCAACAGAAGCTTCCCAGGACCTGTTTAGTTTTTTTTTTACTCCAACAGAAGCTTCCCTCCATGTTATTTTCTACAGGGAATGATAGAGCACTTTCAGGAAGCCTGTGTTTTTCTGGTAGCACACATGGAAAGCAGTTATTATAGCTTTCTAATGTACGTGACCAAACAAACAAATCACAGACAAACGGGCCGGAGGAGGCAGACGACAGTCAGGTGTCTGCGCTGACAGAAAATTAGCGACACAAGAAAAGCTTCATGTTGGAGTGTGTGAACGTTGAGCCTGGACTGTAGATGTTTATCTACTACATGGACTAGAATAAGGAATGGACCAGGGTGTCAGGGAGTAACATGCTTCAAAATAGATGTCAGACTACTGCATATTGCACATTTTTACAGCAACTATCTGGTCCCAGAGAAGGATATACAACATTCAGTTTTGGCGCCAGAAATTGAAAAAGAAAACCACACAAGCATTAAAGGAATCTATAACTGACCTGTGGGGATGAGCAGGGTGGTTCCCTGGGTTACGACACACTTGTAGCACTTGTCCACTCTGTCCCCAAAGAACACTTCGCTCTGATTGGGCGAGGAGCTCCATGCTTCATACAGTGCAAGGTTGGCAGGAGTGGGTTTGATCAAATAGAAGATCTTCTCACCCTGAAAGTCAAATGAAAAGGACATTTTCCAAAATGCTGGTTTGGCTAGACCTGTGACTTGTATTGCTATTTTTTGTATAGAAAAAATATACACCATATTAAGTAGAGTACACCTAAACACTTCTACTGCACAACTACTAAAGACTTCCTTCAAGAACACACATGGAAATGGGACCAACAAGAAAACAATATAGCGCAGAATTTAAACTATAGATAATAAAGTAAACAATACAACTTCCAAATATTTTCCAACACACATGATGTGGAGGAAAAAGGGAAACAACTTACCCAGAGAACATGGTACCAGACCGAGGTTCCTCCAAAGTCTATGTGGAAGTCTGTGTAACTGTCCTTGACCCCCATGAGGCAATACTTCTGGACAAAGGGCTTGGGGAAAAAGGAGTCGTCTGGCCAGTAGTTCTCCACCCAGGACATCTTCTGGGCCACATCTGGGACTTCCACCAGTTCAGACATCCTGCAGGTGTTTGGAGTGAGGCAAGGAGCGCAAAAGCAGAGAGGCCAGAAGGTCAGGTTAAAGTAATTACTCACAGTTGTTGTCTTGTTTAAACACCTCTAAGCCACACAGTTGCCATTTAATTTGAGCCAGATGTCTGTGGCTGGTGATGTAGGAGAGGAAAAGCATCACTATGAGCTTTTCAGAAACAACTATCTGTTCCAGGCCCAGAACTTGAGTTGAAATAATAAAATGTCTGTTAAGTTAATAAAATGGAAGCACAGCTTACTTTGTGTCAGAGAACTCCAGGCTGATGAGGTTGAGAACCTTGGGTCGATGAGGACCGGTAAAATACTTGATGAAGTCACTGAGCTTCATCTTGCTGTCCGCCTGCCGCGCCACATCTATCACATCTACAACTTTGTCGCCACCTGGACAGAAAATAAGCACAAATAAGTCTCCCGAAAAATTAATTAAATTTATTGGCTGCTGAGTGGGTGTTGGGTTCACTAGGGGTCAGCCTGCTGATATCCCAGTGTGATGCTCAGTTGATTCAGCCTAAAGGTAAGGCTGGCCAGCCACAGGGCAGACAACCCAGACAATTTATCAATGTGTCCTGACCAGCTGTTTCTGAGGAGCATACAGTGGGTGGAGGTGAGAGTTCTGCTGTGTTTGATTAACATTTGTGCATCCACAAGGCCAGTGTTGAGTGACACATACAAATACGACAAAGAGAGCAAAGGGCCGACTGGTGTGAGTTTTGAACGGATACTGAAAAAGAAAAAAGGAACATCACAAGGTTGAAGCTAGTCGGTCACACCCTGGTGACACATGGGGCCGGAAGTAGGAGCACGGTGAAGTGTATGTGTGTGTGTGTGGTGCAGCAGGACAGCTGGTTGTTGTATTCTCTTACCCCCCCGCCCACACCTTTTTTATTAGGCCCCTGTTTCCCCTCTGTCTCACACAAGCACACACAAACATGCTCTCTCATGTTCCTGCACCCATACACACACACAGATCTAGAACAGTGAAACCCAGCTGGCCAGTGTCTGACAACAGAGAACAGCTGGACATGGGGCAGTGAGACAGCCTCGGAGCGGAGAGGAAAAATGAAAAAGGTTCCTAGAAACCTCTACGCTTAAACAGCAGCATCACAAATGCAATAGTGAGAGAGAAACCTTCAACATTTCACTGCTGCTCACCACGTTGGCTGTGATATATTACATTAGCCAGTGAAGTTAAAAAGGTCAATTATTGTACTAATTGTTGGGAATATGTCTTTGTCGACAGGCTTCAACCGGAGACTCTTTTATCACCACATTAATCTGCTTTTAATTACAGCACTCTGTTCACTGTTTAGTCATTAATCAGTTTATGGAGCAACTGGTCAAAACGAATAGACTGAATGGAAGAACGTGGAAACACCTGCAACATTCTGGAATTTTGCCTTTTGTCTTGACATTTTTTTCCAATTCTGTTCCAAATACTGAAAAATGTAATCTGGCAAATATGCTTTCTTTTTTCAACATCCTGGGGTCACATTTTCCTGGAAGAAGCTGTGACAACAGTCAGCAGACTGTGAAAATATTACCTTACATACTCTTTTTTACTTCACCTCTTCCTTAGAAACTGGTTAAAATGAAAAATCCAAAATTTTAGATTTTGTTGAAAAAAAAAAAGAAGTCAGAATCAAGTCAGATATTGGATTACACACTGAGCTAACTGCACCAGTGTGTCAGACTCTCCTGAGCGGCGGAGGACATGATCGTTAACCACTTGCCTTGTTGTCTTCAGACAGCAGGAAAGGTAAGACGACACTCCATCCGTGATCACAACACCTTGGCTTAATGCTCAGCAGGGCATGGGAGAGTGAGCTAAAGTGAGGGGAGCAGGCTGTAATCTGAACTTAATGATAAAAACACCAGTGGGCTTGGTAATGGGCTTGTAACAGGAGCTGGAAAGTGGCAAGCTGCCTCAGTGAGGAATTGTGTGGTCACGCAGGGGGCAGTGAAAGCTTAGCCATCGCTCATTTAAAAGTCATTCAGCCATCATCTGATGCCTGATAAGTAGGTTAAGACCCCATGAACCTGGAAACCTACTCATGTTGACACACAGATGGCGCCTGCTCAGCGACGGGCCATTTAGCTGGTCAGTGTTGAGACCCCTGACGAGTGTTTAGCATCTTGAGTGCTCTATTGTACAGACACCGGAAGGGAAGTGTTACACTACTGTATGTGTTTTTGACTCACCCACGCACTGCTCAACATCCCTGACAGAGAATGTAGGGGGAGGTAGTTTAAGTCCCAGACCCTCCATCTCAGTCACCGCTATGGGGTAGCGGAAGCCGTGTCTCTCCAGGTACCTGGGCGTCACCTGCTCACCCTTCATCTTCATCATGATTTCCTCACCGCTTGAAGATTAACAGGAGAAGTTAGGTTAACAAGTAGAGTTTGGGCTGAACGGATTGACCGTAAAAGTCAACACAGCATAAAAAAAAACTTTACCAAACTCCATGAAGGAAATAAACATTTTTGCCACAGAAATTATTGTTGTTTGGGCTAAAGCTAATTTATTAAATAAATTGTAGGGCAATTTCCTATGTGCAATTATAAGAGACAAAGGTCAAGGTCTTTCCAAATTGCAGTTTCAACAGTAAAACACAGGCCTTAACTAATTACATTTCTAATACTTAAATTTAGATTTACGGTTCATATTTAACTTTGTGTCCATATTTGATATACCTGGCAAAAGTTCTGTTCTGCAGCTCCTTGATAAACCTGGGGGTACCAGCCTGAACTGGCCTGGATCCATCGTCTGGCTCGGTGTAGTCATGCCTGTGCCAGTTGCTCCGCTTTTTCACTGTATCAAACGGAGACATTAGAGGGTTTTTTTTCTTCCTGCTGTCATCACCCTCCCTAAGCTCCTTGTGTCAACAACATAGTAAATTATTCACATCATCACTCGCTGACTAGAGGACAGGGCTGTTCACAACTCAAAATCTCAGTGCAAGGAGATTTTGGGGGAGGCAGGGGCTTAGAGAACCATTCAATTAGACCATTAATGTTTGCCCTCTGGGCTCTTAGGGGTTAACCCCCCTCACATCCAAAAAACAAAAACAACCCGGAGTTGATGAACAGCACAGAGAAAGGGCTTGTCCTTATGGGACCACTCTGACACAGAGTGAGACAGAGTGGGAGGAGAAAGAAGGTCAGACATGTAAATGTGATGCAGAGGATCATTGGACAGTATTTGATGAATGAGGTGCACGTTAGAGCTGAGGGCTGGGGGGGGGGGCAAGGGGGGAGGGGGACACAATGAAAATACAGACGCTAATGAGAGAAGGCATTACTCACTCAGGGAGGGTCCATGTACGACATCACAATTGGGACAGTGGTAAACGTCAATGTCCACAGCTTGATGCTCTTCTACCTGCACACAACTGGAAAAAACAACAAAAGACACCAAGTTAAAGAACTTTAAACAGAGTCATGCTGAATCTGGGTAACTTTCCAGAATGATGTATGTAGACTGTAAGTTTTTAATATTTTGTAGGTTTTAAAATAAAATACAAGACAGGCTTTAATTTACATGAACAAAACAAGAACTCATCGTCCATCTCTGACTTTGCAATGGACACCAAGCTTTGATCGAAAACAATATCTTCTTATTGGTAAAGCTGTGTTTAGTAAAGTAAATGTGGATGCTAGACGGTATTGGTGTGTAATCCATGACAGTTAATTCAATCGCATGGCCATCAGTTAACAAGACTCCGCTTTCCCTGGATTTGGAGCCAATGTAGACCACCCTCCAGCTCTCATCCCCCAGAGGACAGACCTCTGGGGGCAGAAACACAGCAATTACAGCTTTCCTGTGGCTAATTCCACATCAACAATATTGTTCTTTTAACTGAGTAGCTCCTTCAGACCGAAGACTCAAATCAAATCCTTTATGTTTGATTTAGGACCGCACAGGAACGTGACCTGCATTAGATTTAAAAAAAATATTTACAAAAATACAGGAAAACAGAGAGCAGGAGCTGATGGATGCAAAAATGCTGTCAAGTCCACAAAGTACACACTCCCCTCAACCACATTTAAAAACACTGATTGATTTGGATGAGGGTATCTATGCAAAACTCATCTAAACACAGAAAAGGCCTCTAATGGATGGAACTGCAAGAAAAAAAACAACAACAACAAAAACAACTCAAGCTACTAGAAGTGCAATTGTCAGCAGAACAGTGCAGGTAACCGTCTTGGAATGCTATAATAAAGTGTTTTTCCATTTTTCCCCTGTACAAATGTAAAATATGATCAAAAGCCTTGGCTCAGCATTGGAATAGTTGTTAAAAAAGTGGCGACTGTTGCACTTTTGTGTTTTCAGTCCCATAGAGCTGTGATCCTTCACTCAGCAACCCCCAAACCCACCCAGACCGCCCTGCAACTGCCAAACCACAGGCACCAACTCACATGCATTCCACTGTTGCATACCAGAGTTCCATTCCAGAGCAGCATGGGTTGAAGAGCAGCCTAGTTGCCATTCAGCCTCAACAGCCACATGTGACTGTTTAGAATGTTGGTGTCAGTGTCGCTCAAACCCAAGTACCTGTACATTGTTAACTATTTCATATTTAAGCTCAGACCCCTTGCCTACATTTGGGACAATATCTTTAAGTTGGTGGCAAGTGATGAGTTGAATTAAACTCTGCTTTTTAACATTGAGAGAAAAAACAAAACAGTGGGCTGCTGCCTCCTACGTCCTTTGATCTGCAAAGGAATTGCAGGAAATTGTAAAAGGAAATAAAGTAGAGGACCATTAACCCATCAGGAAGTGGTGGGCGCATGTGAATGCACAACTCCATCAACCTGGTGCACTAACAGGACATCTGAAGAAGTGCTTTTCTTTATAGCTGACCACTATCTGGCTGCACAGCAAATCACATTATAATGGACAGAGTGTCCTTAGATAGAAGAAGATGATTAAGATTATGATGTAATTTACTGTGGGTTTGTTTGGCTGCATCATGCAAGTGTTAAAAAAGGCAAACTTATTACTGCTCAAGAGCAAACTGGAAACCAGGAGGACATAGTAAAGTGTCAGGGCTCACTATCAGGCTTTGATAATGTTTTCAGGAATCTTTAAGCAACCATTACTGTCAGCTGCAGAAAAATATGATTCACCGCTCTCTGCTGCTTGGTGGTCAACTAACGCAGGAGCAGCGTGTGCTCGACTGAGGCAACCTTATTCCTCGTTGTTCTCGCCTGACTCTGTTTCTGCTTTTATGTAACACCACAGTGGGAAACAGGGGCAATGGGCCACACTGGCAGACCTGACACTGCACTTATGTCACCTAATGAATAACTCTGTAATCATTATTGGCACACAGGCTCTCCAGCAACGTGGACTTCAGACAGTGAATGCAAAAGAAAAGCAGGGGGAGGATCTCTGCTGTAGGAAAGAGAGTCAAATATTTCTCATCTTGCTCTGACTTGACACTGTATTGCGTCACAGCAAGGCCGATGATTGCGCAAATGATTCACCTCCCCAGCTCCTAGAAAGTGATTTATGCAATGATAGGAGCAAACTGTCTGTTAAACACAAACCCAGAGTCAGTGCTGACTGCACAGCATATGCCCCCAGTGTGTTAATGTCACAGAGACACAGACCAAAACTCAAAAACAAAGCAATGACTTGACTGCTTTTTCTTTCCTTATCCCGATCCACCACGAAAGGTCAGCGACCTGACATGTGTTTGGATTTTTGTACTGTTACCTGTACCTATGGACCTTTTTGCATTTCTTATACAAACACTTCTGCTACAGTTCACTTGCCCTTTTAAGTTCTGCTTAAACACACCAAGGATGTATGAATGTACTGTATGTGAGATATTGGCAGGAACACACACCAAGCTCTGCGTGGAATTCACAACTGATGTTAAGTACAGTGACCCAACTGTTTCAGTATGAAATAAATCAACGTTGTCTACATACTTGGGGGCAGGTAATCAAAAAAGCTACACATCCTTGTCATCTATGGCTAAGTCAAATAAACATGTTTTGTAATGCCTTTTGTACTCTGTTGCATCGATCTTTCAGTAAGAGGAAAAGTCAACACACCTGCAATCAGATCCCCAAAGCCATGCCTTCATATATTAAGATGATGTTAGTGCTGTTACCTATCAACTGCTCTGAATTACTTTTCAAGACAATGAGGTTGACATGGCTCTGAAAAACATTAGCACATTTCTTCTACTGATGCAATGCACCATCAGAACGGAGCAACACAGGAAAATCGTCTTCCTGCTCAGTTGCCTTTTGATTTTTTTCCCCAGACTTCACCAAACTCTTCTGGAGTATCTGTTTAACAGTGTTACCATTTTCAAAACCCCTGTTTTATCCAGACAGAGATTTTATGTGATGGCACAGAAGCAGACTACCAGGAAAAACATCCCTTCCTGAATGACGAGGTGTGTGTACTTGGCCAAAGCCCAGACATCAACAGCCCCTCTCCCCGCACTTCCTCTCATCAAGAGCCTCCTTCCTGTGTGACTGAGAGGGCTTATTCATTAGTCAACACACTACGAGGGGTTCATTGTCCCCCATGATCGGTGCAGTGGCACAAAGGCAGGAGGCGGGCGCTGCCATTATTTTAAGCTCTAAATAACTGCTCTGCATGGGGCACAGACACGCCTACATTAGGGGAACTGGCAGATCTCTAATGGATGGGTGGAGGAGATAGGGAGGAGATGAGGGCAGTTAAACACACCTGGCCACCCTTATCTGTCTTTATCAACCCCAGAGGAGCAGCAGACTCCTGCAGACCAGTCCTGAGGCACTCAGTCATAGCTCACACAAACAGAGCTTGCTCTGGACAGAGCCACTGAACCCTGACAGACAGACAGGAATCTGTGGTTTAGGAATTATTTTTGCCAGCTGAACACAATAAGTATCTAAACTATTTGAGCATTGGCTTCAGCTGGAAACAGAACAGACTGTTCTGTTTCTGAAGTTAAACAGAAATGACAAAGGAGGAACACTTTGTTGTTTGTGGGACATCAGGGAGCCTGGGGTGTTTTAACAATGTAATTGTTTTGGTGCAGGTTGGCTTGTCTTGAGGCTCTGAGCACCAGCGCTCTGCTTTCACATATGTCTTCAAGATGGTTGTTTTGAGGGCCCCAGTGTCCCTGTTAAATCCTACAAAACCATTCTTTATGTGAGTGTCTGCTGCTGAAATCAGTCTGTAAGCTAACAGAGACAGGCAGCGGGTGAAATTATTTATGATGCGCACCACTGGGCTATTGGTCATGCATTACTATCTCTAAGGTGATTACACTTTCACTTTAAACAGACAGCTAATCAAAACAATTTCTTTAAACAAGTTTAATGCACAGAATAATGAAATGCTTTGAAGATCATAATTCACAGTGACTGATTATCAATACACAAAGGCCTTGACCCCAATCAACATTGATGAAGCTCAAAGTAACTTCCCTTTCCCCCAGGAGGAAGCAGCAGTGATGAATGTAGACTTTAAAAAAAAAAAAAAAAAACAAGCAACATTTGTGACTGTTATTTATTAAATTTAGTGATTGGGCCAAACAGATTAACACAGCGGTCTCCACATGGACAAACAAATACTTAGGGAAGCTCAACCATCCACTCTACACAAACTATGCAGAACGAGGGTATCTATCGTTTATCAGTGAGCTCATGCTTGTGTGTGATGTTGCTGGCTAATGCGTTGAACTTGAATGACCAGGTCTCCAATCAATCATTTTCTGTGTCACAGCCAGGTCCACGGGATCATCATCCCATCACTTAAATGAGACAAAGGGTTGATCTATGCTTCTAAAATCTAATCTGAGTTAACAACCATCATCCACTCTGGAAGATTTTCTAGGAGTAAATCCCTGGTGTTCTGTAGACTGACATCATGGCAACACTGGACACAACTCACTTATGTTGGCAAGTCTTCTAATTAGCAGCAGCTCTAAATGGTAAATTAAAGAGTGTAGCGGGTGTTTGTAAACTACATCACAGCCTGTACTAACTTGCAGCTGCACACTCTTGAGTTCTGAAACCAACACTGGCTACTGGTGACAACTGTTGCAGCACAAATGAAAGCTCAGCTTTAATGATCATCGCTGTCAATTAAAGACCACTTACTCCAGAGAATCAAATTCATTCATTTTCTTTGACTTGTTGGTTGGCTGCAGTATTACTATACCCCGAAACAGACAACAACTAAAATAACCCAAGAGAAGTTCATTTTTAAAAAGTAAACAGAACATAGCCATCTAAAAGTTGCTAAAAAAGTGAATATACATACACCATCATATCGAGACCTACACTGGTGCAACCCTCCACCCCTACAAAACCCCAACATGTCTCAGGTTTTTCTATAGCTGCAACAACTAAAATAATCCAAGAGAAGTTCATTTTTAAAAAGTAAGAGAAAGAGAAACCAGTAAAAATAAATTTAACACTGACACTCTTGGAATTCCAAAGTCACTTTTCAATTAATTAACTAAAATGTAGGAAATAGTTGAGTTAGCAAGTTCTGGTACAACTTCCAGTAACTGTTACCAAATACTACCATAGACGCGCTTCTGCATTTCATATTTACATCATAAACAAAAATCACAAGACAACATTAAAATAGAGAACTTCAGTAAATAGTAGGTGTGGTAACACTGGGAGTTTAGAGATTCTGGTAACACGTCTCTCACCCTGTTTTTTTTTGTTACCTCATTCATTTGTAGTTTGGTCAGATTTCTCAAAGTCTGAGTTCCTATTCCCCTAAAAACCAACAGCCTCTATTGTTGACTGAGATGCTGGGAGAGATACAAGTGATGCAAAGCAAGACACTCTCCAGAACCTGAGCCGAGGAGAACCACACATCGACACAAACAGAAAATCACTCACACATGGAAAATAACAGGCACCAGGAGACTGAGCTGCTTTCCTTTCACCCGACATACCACCATCCACTGCCAGAGAATCCCCCTCTTCCTTTTGGCCAGCCTCGTGGGAAAGAGGCTTTAAAAAAGGCTGTTTTTTGGAGATCCACTCTGCATGTGCGTGTATGTGGGTGTGTGCTTCTATTAGTCATCAACAGGAGAAGCTCCAACATTTGTTCCTTTTCTTGCCGACACATGACTAAGAGCCAGCCAGTTCTTTTTTTGGTCCTTTGGCACAGCACATTTTGTGCAGCTATCTTGGCCGAAGGACACCTTATAACGTAATTACGCAAGAGCCTCTGTCATTTCGACAAAAGCGATAAAACAGATGAGTGTGTCCATAAACAGTAGCTGTGGTGATGCACCCACACAGGCATGTTCAAAGGGCAGAAGAAAAGAGAATGTGAAAACTAAGGCTGTGACAGCTCGATGACTCAAATACAAAAAGTGAGTCACTAAATCTGGGTTCAGTGGTTGCTCAAGTCTGATAAGTTTGATCAAATTTGACATCAGCAAATCACTTTCTACCTTCCACAGAAGTCCGTAACAATAATTTCTCTGTTGGATTAAGAGACACATATTTAATCATGGTGCACAAGATTACTCAATTGCAAATTCACGTGATTTTGTCAGTGCTCTTAACCTGTCTACCCCAGGATCTCACTTTAGACTGTGGTGGTAAATTGAAGCCCCAGAGAAAGAGAAACATTATTAAAAGTATCACTGTAAGCAAGTATGAACACAAAAACTTCTACTTTTTACAACAGATCAGGAAAACAATTTCATAACTTAAAATCTTAAGTCGAAAAAGTGTAAAGTTAAATATGGCTTGCATGTAAACAGACTCCTAAGAAATGGTCAAATATACAAATAAAGCCCACTCCGACCGTCTATTTTTTGCTGAATTTGACTTTAAAGGTTTAAATTATATTAGACAACAAAAATATTATTTGTCAACATATGCCAGGGTTTGCTAAAATATGCTAAATAAGTTATATTTTGCTATGAATTTGTTGAGCTGGACTGCTGACAAAGCTTGGGTATATTTACACCTAAAGAAGCAAACTTGCAAAACTACTTGAAAAAGCACTAATAGCTAATAAACAAAACCAAATACTTTCTAGGTTCATTGAAACCGACTGAGGGGTTTGTTTGTTTTATTCTTATGTTGTACTACAGACATTTGACAAAGAAAATATATTTAGTCTTGTTTCTCTGAAGCAATACTCAAGCCCGCCACTTGGGGTCTCCTGCCATGTGCTTGGTCAGTTAAGGGGGATTTAAATTTTTCAAGCTGTCAATCAAAAACCATAACAAGCACCACGTCCTCCAACATTTGTTCTTCGCTGAAGTAGGTTATTTAGAAATACAAAAAGAAACTATTTAAAATGGTGATTAACTTACATGAAGTGATGTCCAATTATACTTTTGAATAAATAAAAAGTGAGATTATAATTGAGGAAACATAAGAAATGCGCACGGGTCGGCAAGAGCTGTTTAAAAACTCTTGTCAAAGTTAATTGTTTTTAAATGCCAGTAAAAGGTTATGTGCGGTTACCATAACCTTAAATAACCCACTGTGGCAAAGCAGGTCACGGCGTTAAGAAAAGAAGAAACTGGAATAGGCGTATGTTAAATCGTCAAATTAAAAAAAAAATATGACGAGGTATAGTTCCAATGTTGACAATATGAAGCTTTTCTATGTCACGATGAACCCGATGATCTCTTCGTTACCCAGCTTGACTGACACCGCTCGGCAACACTCACGATAGATTCCCGTATAAGTGCATAAAACTAACAGCTATAGAGGTGTTTTCGGTTCATTATGATGCACCTGACAGCTTAATTTCAAACAGCATGCATACATTATTTGTTTTGCCTTCATAAATTAAAGAATAAAGTCGTAGAAAGGGAGTTAATCACCACTTTCTTTGGTGAAGTCGTGTCAATAGACGGTTTAAAACCCCCGTCGCCCACCGCTAGCCTTAGCCAGTTAGCTTCCAGTCAACACCGCACAGACAACGGTCGCTTTTCTTTGATTAACGGCCAATGTTCCTCGTTTCTGGCTGGCAATATCCGTGAAGAACACTTAAACCAACGTACCTGCCGTGGAACCAGTCTTTACAGATGTCACACTCGATCATAAAGCGGCTCACATCGTAAGGCTGCCGGCAGACACAGTATAGCGGGGCCGCCGCCATCTTCCTACTGTCCCCAAACAACGCAGGAATGAACCGGGGCGGGGATTTAACTCTGCGTCCGGAAACGACCGAGGCCACACGAACTTCACCGTTCGGTGCGAACCCACCTCTGACGTAACTGGATTTCCATCTGCCTGTGTGACTGCAACAATAGAAACAAAACTTTTTTTTCCAAAGGAGCAGTGACGTAATGGTTCTTTGATTATTTTTCAAATATGTTCAGGATAACTGAGTATTATATCAGTTCATTTTAGTTTCTTAACGGCTAACTTCTGTCTTTTTCCTGTTGTTGGCTGTCAAATATATCTCCGCTCATTTGAGCTATTTCGTTTACTCTATATTTGAACTGGTTCTTTGTTTATAGTTTTTATTTGATTTTTAGTGAACCCTTAGTTCAATTTTTGGCTTTTTTTTGTAATATATTGGTATTCTTTTTTAATTTTTAGGTTGTTTAAGTTTAAGGATAAAGAACACAAATCGATAAAATAACGATACAATGGGATAATGTTTTATTAATCACACAACGGGTAATACATACAGTAATTCAATATTATTTTGAAAGTTTTATTGTCTACACATAAATAAATATAATGAAATGTAAATTCAACTCTTCTCATCAGTACGCTATGTACATAGCTAATACGATAGACAGAAAAACGGTTATTCTGTCAGTGAAAACCAAAGCACGTCTTTCTAATCTGTTCAAATGCACAGTGGCAGATTTTTTCTTTGTTGTGTTTTAACACCTGCCTTAAAAATAAAACCCACACATTTTTTCTCCTGCAGTATTCTCCGAACCGCCGATGCAGGTGTCGCGCCAGAGCCAACCCTGGTATGTCTCCTAGGAGCGTGTGTGACATGCCCTACGTGCTAGTGTGTTGAATAGCAATGGGACCACCGACCCACAGCCTGATCTGTGAGCTGACAGCAGCGCCCATCCCCCCACACGCCCATCTGTGCAACTCTGCATAGACAAGCAGCACTGCTGCATGCACACACTCATGCGTTCTCATTTCACACGCCACACATGTGATTGAAAACTGGAGAGCTCGTCTGATTGTTTTTCCTTCTTCTTATGGTGCCGTCTTAGCATGCAGTACATGCAAAACCTCCCCAGTGACAATAGCGACCTGAAGCAGTTATGGGTTGATGATTATTCTCTTTAGACACACGTCTAAAGATGTCAGTCAGGTAGGAGCAGAAAAACTTCAGGAGTGGTGTGAAGATCCACACGTTTGTACACACACCTTTTTCTGGACCTTCTCATTTTCATTTTCATATATAGGAATGCAATTGGCTCTTTTCAGGTGCGCGCAAGAAAACTTCCGGGTGCGCACCTGAAAGTTTTCTGGCTCCCTTTAGGATCTTGGCACCGCAATTTTCCAATGTTTTATAACATTTTATTTCATTGTTTTACTTCATTCATCCATGCGATTTTTTAAAAATGTCATTATGTTTATATTTTTTATTTTTAATATTCCCTTTCTTTTAATTTACATTAACTTTTTTCATCAACCTTGTCTGATATGTATTTTTTACATTACATTATTTTTCTACTTAAAAAAAATCACTATATTTTCTTTTTAGACTTTTTTTTACTTTTTTTTTTTTACCTGCGCAAACTGATCAAAACCAAACAATTTTTCCACCTTATGTTAAAACGCCATCTACTGGCTGAATGCCATCTGAAATCTTTGCGCGTTCACGGTGACCAGAACGCGTACGTTACGGGTGATGTAACGTCACAAATCATGAGAGAAGAATGGGAAAAATAGCTGTGTCTGAATATATTTAACGCATTTATTAATGTGCGTTGCATCTTCTTCGCTGCACTGGGTGCATATTTATTTATTTATGCGGATTCTGACTAAAAATAAACATGTATGTTAAATTTGAGGCGAAATGAAGCTGTGACCAGATTATCGAACAGGTAAGAGCGATACAGAACACACGTTCTTCATATTGAAATGATTAGGAACGGAGATTTGTGTGCAGGTGTTTCTAGAAGCTACGGTAAACACATATACATCCATATACTTATTTATTGGTAAACGTCAGTGGTCATAGACCAAACATTGCAACTCAGCCGTTATATTTGACACCTGCTATGTTATTACTATTTAAATGAATGTGTACCTTTTATACGTTTTTTACTGTTGTGTTTAAAGGGCTCGCTAACCCGCTAAGACTATGAATTAACCTGTATCCAAAAATCAACAGAACCACCAGAATAACTTTGCACTGTGCCATCGTTATCGACAATATATTCACCAGTACATTATAGCACATGTACAGCACAATAGGTGGACTATTAAAGAATGCTAGCCAAAGCTAAATATCGAAGAGTAAGATCAGTAAGAAACACAATAAACGCATTCAAAAGTGACTTAATGGCACAAAGACTAGGATATTATATGACAATGACAATTACATATTGTAAATATAATAGTCACAAATTTATATGATAAAAAAACCGTCCTATAGAAAAACAGAAAAATAAAATATATAGATTATCCTTGCATCACAAAGGATTTAAAAAATGCCCTAAGGTCAAAATGTTTAGATGGGGGACTGAAGTGAGAGAAAATAAGTATTAAAAATATGAAAACACACAACACAACTAGCATTTTGAGAACAGTTAAAAGATAAACCTATAACAAAACATTAGATTAGACATGAATACTGTAATTCTAGCACTTTAGCCCAGAGGCAATGTCTCTGTCGTTGGTGTGAGGCAAGATCGAATCCCAGTCAGGGCGGTTGGTGCCTTACAGTGGACTCACCACCCGCAGGAAGGTTCCGGGGGGTTGGTACGGGGCAGTGTGATCTGGGTGGTGGTCATGGAGACTGCTGCCCCCGCGACCCGGTAACGGATAAGCGGATAAAAATGGATGGATGGAATAATTAAATAATTAAAAATAATTTAAAAATAATAATTAAAGTAATTGATACTGTATGTCACTTGTGAAAAGAGTAATTGATTGAAATGTAACCAATAAAATTCATCTGTAACCTGTCTTTCAGATTTTGTTTCTGTGTTGGGATTAGTTGTTTCAAATGTTCTGCTCTACTCCACGGTCATTTGATTCTGCCTTTTCCATAATGTTGCTACTCTGAGTCCAATATTCTTGCATTCCTTCTTTTCCAGCAGAAGCTGAAGTTTCCTGCAGCTGAAAATGAGACGTTTATCCAAAAAGAAAGCTCTGAGTCTGGTGAAGGAGCTGGACGCCTTCCCCAAAGTGTCGGAGAGCTACAAGGAGACCTCAGCATCTGGGGGAACAGGTAACACACCCTCCCGTAGAAATCCTCTGGTGCAAACTGTCCCTGAAATGTTGTGTTTGCTTTATAAATATGTTATGTTGGTTTAGTTTTGGTGAGAGTGGGGAAAAAAAGTCCACCTAGACTAACATAGCTCACACCTATTCTATGTATCATGGAATGAGAAGGATGTGTGCTAAAGGTTAGCCAAAAGCTAAATAAAATCAATTACTGTACTATCCTAAAGATTGCTACATTCATCAGGGTGAGTAAAAGTGGACAAATTCAAATAAAAATAAGTAAAAGTTTACCAAAAATAATGGAAATGTTGCTATTACATAGCAATAGAAATCATTTCAAGTTGTTAAGAGTAAAGATTTCCAAAAGTACTGTAAAATTTGTAGTTAAAAGTTGACACTGAAAACAACACGGTCTCTCCTGTCTCACCAACAGTGTCTCTGATAGCCTTTAGTTCCATGGCTCTCCTGGCCGTCCTAGAGTTCTTTGTTTATCAAGACACCTGGATGAAGTATGAATACACAGTCGACAAGGATTTTTCCAGGTGAGTTTGATTTCAGCAAACACTGAAACCAGATAATATTACTGCTGGTCAATAGTCTGTTTCCATCAAATGTAAAGTACTGATCCTGACTTATGTTTCACTTCTTCATTCACAGTAAACTGAGGATAAACATTGACATCACAGTGGCCATGAAATGTCAGCGTGAGTTTTTTTTGGTTTTAATTAAATCTACATCCAGACAACAGTCATAGAAATACAGAAAAATACAAAAAAAAAAACAGAATTGGTGCTTTGAAACACAGTATATCCACTCACATATACTACATGTACACACACTGTATCAAGACAAATGCAAATATCATCTGCGTATCGTATTAAGTATGTGTTTTAAACTAGTTCAGATTTTTCAAATTTGTTTTTATTTCATATTAATTCTCATAATTCCAATTATCTGATCGTGATTCCACGCTCATTCATACTGCTGCTCTGCTGTGTACTTTTCTTAGCTCTTAATGCTAATGTACCGCCTCCTGTGTGAATGTGCAGATGTTGGAGCAGATATTTTGGACCTGGCAGAGACCATGATCACATCTGATGGCCTTCAGTATGAACCTGTGAGTAAAAGACAAATATAATCATAGACCTGAGATAATAATCAATAAATCAATAAATCACACGATAAATAAAGATAAATGTAATAATTTTGACGGCCTCAGTACATTGCCATGAGCAAGAGTGTTTGTTTTCCTCGTCTCCTCTTGGATGACAAGAGGGTTCCCTCTGTGAGTCAGTCTCAGCACCTGGGTGCGTTTGTACGGAGCAGAATGTACGGAGTGAACCCTCTTGTTAATCGTCCACTCTTTGTCTCTGTGATTTTTGTGTGTTGCATTTATTTAGGGTATTTAAAAGTTCTTGAAATTCCAATTCCAATGGTAAAATACTCATGAGAAATAAAAGAATACAATTCCATCTGAAGGAGTGTATTTGCATTATGATGATATATTGACATTAGTTAATTTGGTCTCAAAATAATGTTGACATGACATTAGTTAATTTGGTCTCAAAGTAATGTTGACAATAATATTGTTCAGCATAATGTGTTATTGTCACAGGTCTATTTAATCACATCCTCATCCTTGTCATTGTGGATTGATTCATTCACTAATCCATGTCCTTATTTTTTAAAAATATGTCCTAAAGGTTATTTTTGATCTGACTCCACAACAGAGGGTTTGGCAAAGGTGAGTCGACACGGAACCTCCACCGGACGCAACATTCAGAGACTTGAGTTGTTCAAAAGTCTAGAAGGGCTGGCTCACCTGCTAGTCTTTCCCTTTATCAACTTTTTTAAGTGTGCTGAAGGCATCAGCTTCTAAAGGTCTAGGTTTGTTTCACCTGGCAGTTTGGTGACCTGTTGTCTGTCCTCCAGGACTCTGCTGCTCATCCAGAGTCAGCTGAGGGCAGAACACGCTCTTCAGGACGTCCTCTACAAAACTATCCTCAAAGGATCTACTGCACTGCCCCCACGGTCACTTCCTCTTCTGAAAGAAAAATTAAAGAAATACTCAAAATTATGTTTGATGGAAGTGTAACATTAAAACTAGTGCGTGTGTGTGTAGGGAGGATGCCTCTGCAGAGCACGTCGCTGCCTGTAGGATACATGGTCACATGTACGTCAACAAGGTGGCGGGGAACCTGCACATCACTGTGGGGAAGTAAGCAGCGCCAACACATTCAGCATAAAGGGTGTTTCCCTCCAATCGAGGATTATCTTTCAAACATATTTTCTTTCCTTTTTCAGGCCGTTCCATCATCCTCAAGGCCACGCCCACATTGCAGCATTTGTCAGCCATGACAGTGAGTGCATCAAGTTTATATTTTTTGAGTGTATCGTCACCCCCCCCCCAAAGGTCACATTTGCTAAATTATTCATTTGGTCTTTATTGAAGCTTTGCATCTTTTTAATTGTAACGCTGCCCCCTGCTGGGTCTGTTTTACACTGGTACAAATTCCAGTTACAATTGTCCAGATTAATTAAAAAAAGAAAATTTTTTTTTTTGAACTATACATTTAAAATTTTTTCATTCCAACCAATTTTATTAAGCTATTTTATATAAAATGTTATAATTCTGGCTAACCTTTAACTATCCTTGGGTTGTGTTTAAGCAACATTACTTAATTACATTTATTTTGTGGGTTACCCTTTATTTCTGACATTTTCAATTTTTTTGTGTTTTCCCCTTTATTTCTTTCACAGCCTACAACTTCTCCCATCGAATCGACTATCTATCCTTCGGCGAGGAGATACCAGGGATGATAAACCCTCTGGACGGTACAGAGAAAATCACCTTCAACAGTAGGTCACTGCAGTAAAAGGATGAACCCCATCATAAAACAATCAACCCAGAGTAGATTATATACCACACAGCTGCTGTGTCATCTAAATGTTTATGGTTCTACATCCAGACAATCAAATGTTCCAGTACTTCATCACAGTGGTTCCCACCAGACTGAACACCTACAAGACATCTGCAGACACTCACCAGTTCTCTGTCACCGAACGAGTGAGTCGCCTGTAAAACAACCAAGAAATAACAGTCGAGAAATCAGGACAGTGTGACGAAAAAGGTGCAACAAAAACATTTTCTTTTTTTAGGAGCGGGTGATAAATCACGCCGCTGGCAGCCACGGCGTCTCTGGCATCTTTGTGAAGTATGACACCAGCTCTCTGATGGTGACGGTCAGCGAGCAGCACATGCCACTGTGGAGGTTCCTGGTGCGACTGTGTGGAATCATCGGAGGAATCTTCTCCACCACTGGTGAGAAAAGTGTCATCTTGAAAGAACAGCTTGTACAGTAGGAGAGAATGAGACTTGAAATGACTGAAGGTGACAAACCTGATGTACTTGACAAAACGACAGAGCGAAACAAGGTTCCTGTGGGAGTTTTGTCTGATTTTTTTTTTAATGTGCAAAAAAAACCCAACAAAAATGTAGTTAAATGTAGTTACTTACAAGATTCATTTTCAATAGAGGACTTCAAATAGTGGCTGATTTACTAGTTAGGAATTGAAGAAAAAACACAGATATAATTCAACTGCTGAGTCTTGCTATTTCAAAAAAATATTTATAGCCATCTGCTGCCACCCAGTGGAGGAATATTTTACTGTATTGTCTGTTACTGTCACATAGACGAACAGAGACAAAATATTTGCAATAAATAAATATTTTTCAAATGCAAGGAGTAAAATTTCCAATAGCACACCTCTGAGGTGTAATATTTATACATGTGTTTTCTGAGTTCCTTGATTTACCTTGGACCCTGTGTGTGGATATTTTAAAAAAATGGTTTCTTTACCCTGCCTCCTCATATCTGTTTTGGATTCTTCCCAGGGGTTTTTGATTATTGATTATAATTCTTTATAATTTATAATTTTTTTGACCTTATTGCCGTGTTTCCTCTCTACAGGAATGCTGCACGGACTTGTCGGCTTCTGTTTTGACATCGTCTGCTGTCGCCTCAAACAAAGAATCTACAGGCCACCTGAGGTGAGGCTGAATGTTTGTTTTTTTAGCTGTACCACAGTGTGGTATTTGCAGTAATTTGTACCTCTATCTCCAGAATTGCAGTGATGTAGTAAATATAGTGTTTCTAATGAGGTACAGTGAAGTCCATGTATCTCCATAAGGAGGGTTACAGCAGGAAACGTTTGAGAACCACTGGGCTAGGCTAACGGTCAGCCTCCACAGCCTGTGAGACCATCAAATGAAGTCTTTGCCTGTTCCGGTTGTTTTTTGCAGCACATGCAGCAGGACAACCAGATGAACAACCACCACATCCCTCTGCCTGCTGACGGAATTCTTCAAGAGTAGCTGCTTAAATTCAGGGCTACCACCGGGGCACAGAAGACTGACCGTATCAGTGGAAGTGTCTCGTTTTATGGACTGCAGGTGGCAGTATTCAGCCTTCAGCGCCAGACCAGGTTGTTAACATATCTAGCTGAGGACAGACAAGAAAAAAAAACAGCAATGTTGTAGCTCCTGGTGTCAGCAGTTAGCTGCATCTTTGGGCTTCACATTGATTTCAGTGGAGCATTGAGTGGACTGAGAATCAAAGTCACATCACTGTGGTCAAACCAGAAGAACTAGTGCCAAAAGCTGTTGATTTCTTAATAAATCTGTATTGGACAAATGTCTTTCAGAGCCGTCTCCTATGGTCCAGCAGAGGTACTGCATCCTAAACTCCTTATCTTTTGCTGCAGTGTGATGTCACGACAGTGTATAATGGATTGGTATAGTCTGCAAAGGTATGTAATTTATCTCTTCAGATAATCCTGTTGAGAGTTTGTGTCAAGGAGTGGACATTTGTGACCTCTGGTGGGCTTCATCCCTTAAAATGAGACACAACCAATGTGTTGTTGACCTGTGGAAAATAAAAACAACAAAAAACATTTTTTTCTACAAAAAATGATAAAGTCTAGACAATGTAAAAAAGCATTCCAAAAAACTTTTTTTTTTCTACAATAAAAAAAAGTCTAGACAATGTAAAAAAGCATTCCAGTATAACGGCAAAGAAAAAAAAATGCAACTCACCTAATTCCAGTTAAACACTAGAGGGAGCCCAAGCACCACCAGTGGTACATATACATTGTTTGAGCGTCACCTTCTAACGCTCAAACAATGTTCACTTTTCTAAGAAGTACAGTTTGATGTAGTGCAGCAGACGTGATTCCTTTTTTCTTGTTTATTTCAGTTTTGCCAAGCAGACTTGAAAGACATGTCAGAGCAGGGAGTACAGTTCAGTCAAACATGTTGAGAAAAGGACACCTAACAAAAGGTTGATATTATTCATTATTGGTGTTTTGTTAGACACGGTAACTGCAGCTCCCGTCTTTCAGTTTTACTGAAGACAAAGTTATCAAACGAACAGGAAGTAGAACGAGACGTCGTGAAGACACGGTTACAGTAGCCCTGTAGCTCGGTGACATTTGACAAAAACCACTTCGTACAGACGCTTGTGCGCAAGTGCAGACATTTTGGTTCATTGTGAAAATGGTTACACAACAGACAAGGAGTTTTGCATAAACAGTTAGGTTTTGTCCCTTTTCTTAGCTCTAGTGAAAGGTCAACCTGGTGCACGTTCTGCCTCTGACATGAGTAATACTGTCCAGTCGACTGGTTTAGTAAATACTTTTAACAACTCTGGTAGCCTCAGATGGAAGCTGTGTGGTAAAAACTCAAAGAACCTTAAAGCAAAAGTCAAATAAATCTTCCTTTAGTTTATAAGAATAAAATGCAATTTTGACTGTTTACACGTTTACCAACGTGGGGTGTAGCTGTCGCAGTACACCCCACTTTGGGGGCGGTGTTTCAAGTCCCTATCCCTTTCATTTGTTACTGCTGAAAAATAGCAGTTTTTAAAACACAGAACCAACCATGGCATTCCCAATGGAGCCATACTCGTTCCAATACTATTTTCTGCAGTTGCTAATATTGACTTTATATAACAGTATATAACACTGATGGCTCCACACAATAACCCTTATTACAAACTTTCAAAAACCAGTTCAAATATATTCATCCGTTTTTAAATAAAACTGACTGAACTCTCCACTAAAACCCACATAGTTCACAACAATTACCACGCGTTTGTCGTTATTCAACAGAAACTCTTCATTTCCTTCCTGAAGGACAATCAACAAAAATTAAAATGTGCATTAATCTGCTTAGGTTCTAACAGGATCAACCTTCTTAGAAAGAACTCTGAAAACAACAGTCTTGTTGTTGGCTCTACTTGTCTCTCATCCTGAAGCAGATTATCTGGCCCAGAGAACTGATTTGGATCTGTTCATGAATCTCTGTCCAGACCATATGGACTGCTTCATAAACATATCCAAGTTGAATTCCACCCAGATAGGATGCTCCAAGATGAGGCCCAAAGTGACTAAGCTAATCCAATAGCTTTTTGTTTTGATAGGAATAGAGTCTGGGTCACACTGGATTTTTTTCTGATCCTGACCCACTCTGTGGATCACATGGGCCTGGGACACACCTGGGGCAGATCAGGTACAAGGTGAGGGTCTTGGGTTTTAAAGCCAGATCCCAGTCAACCCAGGAATAATGTTTCGTTCCCTGCTTTTTCCCTTTGCTGCTAAAGAACGTCTTTAGAAAATGTCAAGCTATTTTTGAAAAATTTGAAGGGGGGTGGGGGGGGGGTGTACAATACACATCATACAGGCTCTATACAAATAAACTCCTCTGCTGTACTCTTATTTATAGATTATACACTGTCAAGGTCTACCACCTGTATGGGAACGAGCCTTTGACACAAGTATAAAGATGTAAAAGTAGTAAACTTAGTTTCAGTACAAACCACTGTACAAACAGGCAAAGGTTAGATGAGGGTGGGGTGGGGGAGGGAATGACAGACCTGTAGGAATCCCAGCTCAGACGCTTGTCCTGGTTCTCAGACCAGTCACCGTTGCTCAGTGTGTGTGTGTGTATATGATAGTTTTAAAGGCAGTAGATACACATGACGTCGAGACGGACGTTTGGTTAAAACAAAAACGAATGATCTCGTTAAACCAACTGTCCTCCACTGAAACTATATTTCAAGTACGAAAAAAAGGCGAGTAGTTCGACGATTCCCAGATATGCAGTGGAAAAAAGACAAAGTGGAAAACACACAGGAGGCTTTCTGTGTTGTTGCATATATAAGTGGCCACTTTGAGAAGAAAAAGAATTGAGAGATCTTGATTGGACAGGGGTCTGTTGATGGAACAGCGATTTAAATGACAAAAAGAAACACACCATGGCTAGTAGACCTCTTTTTTTTTTTTTTTACCATCCTGAGAGCGTCACTCAATCCAGGCTCCCACCTCTGCAAATCCAAGCTAAGCCAGATCTGCAGCGCCCCCAGTGGACGGCCAGAGTCTGGTTTAGTTTTTGTCCTTGTCGAAAGGCGTGGGTTTTGCTGTTTATACTGGCTTTCAAGGAGGACGTGAGGAAGACTCAGATGGACAAGGTGCTGGACGCACGGAAGTAGGAGAGAAACTTAAAACAGAGGCTGACCACAAAGTACCAGATGTTTCTGGCCATCTGGGAGCGGGCGATGAAGACCCTCCAGATGAAAACGATCAACATGGTGTTGAAGGTGTAGCGAATGTTCCTCAGTCTGAGGAAGGACGAAGAAGAAGACGGAACACAAATATTCACGTGTAAGTCTCAAATCCAAATCTAACTTTTTTTTTTAAAGTTTTTGAAGCATGACTAGTTTCTCTACTCACTTCCTCAGATGCTGCCTG